AATCTGACTTGATATAATCCAAACAGGAGAGCATTAATCTCATCCTAGGATTTTATAAGAGATGTACCACAGCTACTCTGCTAGACCACATCCCATGGTGTTTGCTAAATAGCGTGTGTAGATATAATCAATTGCTCATTAGAGATGCCACACACGACACAGATACAATCATGCCACTACTGATTTACCCTTGACCCTTTGCTGTTATCACATAAGGAATGAGGTACAAGACCACAAGAGCTAGGGGTAATTTTTCCTGTTCTCCATGGGAAAACTTCTTCATCACTTTGAAATTATTGTTCAGGCAGGCACAAACCTGCTACATCTCAAAATTAGACTTTTGGAGGTGTCAAGAGGACACTGTGAGATCTCTCAAAGTAACATCTGTCAGTACTGGGAAAGGGTCTCCCATGAGCTCACTGCTGTCAGGAAGCTGAGAGAAGCCTCTCTGCTCTACAACATGCAACTCCTGCAAATGCTGCAAGTCATCCCAGTCTGCAGGGCAACAAGTGACTCTAATCAGGTGCTATTTAAGAGATTCCCTACACTCCTCACCTGCTCTGTGAAGCTTTTCATCACATCACATCATATCACATCACAGGTGTGAGATGAATAATTTCTATTGGATGAATCTAAGGAAATACACCACAGGAGAACAATGTGTATTTCAGCTGCTAATCAGCATCAAGTCCAAAGGAGTAAGTCTGACATAAACCTCTCCAACATGCAGTGCAAGTGGTTACCGGGTTCTCTGCATCTGCTGTTTCCCTTTTCAGCCCCTCTCCTGCTGAGCAGCGCTGCTCAGCTAATGCAGGCACAGCCCATGGGATCCCACCTGGCTCTGTTGTATGCTTCTCTGACAGACACACTGATTCACATTAGGGATGGGGCAGCAACAGCGACGTTCAGCACGTCCTGTTGATGTCTATTCACCCTGACAGCTAAAGTGGAGCCAGTAACGATACTTGGAGCAGGCACAGATTATCGTAGGTGCTGTATACAAACAGCATGCCCTAGTTCTTTGCAAATGACCCTTGGACTTCCCCCTGCTCCTTCATGCAGACAGAAGCCTGTTCCATTAGGTCACAGCGGAGAGGAGTAGGAGACGGGGGTGCATGTGAGTGCACTGTGCAGCGCCTACCCCCGAGCCGCAGTCCTCCCAGATGTCTCCAGCCCCGTGTCTCACACAGCGAGGGGTGTGAGAGCTGCTGTGAGGGCGGGCATGGCACCCTGCTCTTCGGCGATTTCACTGGGTCTGTCACCACGAGTATGTTGTTCCTGAACAAACCAACTCTCCGTTGTGAGAGAGCACAGGATACCTTTCAACGGCATCTTGAGTATTCGAAACTGAGGACAAAAGCTTCGGCTCCCCGGGCTGAAATGCCGGGTGTCTCACAACTCGGGGCCGCTGACAAACTGCCGGCTCTGCGCCTCCGACACCTCTCGGGTCAGCGCGGGAAGAGATCTCCTTAAAGCCGCACAGTTTTAGCTCAGGCGGGCGAGCGGATGAGGGCACCGTGGCGCCTGCGGAGCCTCCCGCCGGCACAGGACCTCCGCGGCCGCGGCTGCTCCCGGGCGGCCCCGGCGCCCTCTGGCGCTGCCGGCGCGGCGGGACAGCCGGGCCGAGCCAGCCCTGCTCCGGCCGGCGGGGAGAGAGCGCCTCGGCCGCGCTCCGGCTGGGACACGGCCCCGGCGCCGCGGGCCCGGGCTCCCCGCCGCAGGGAGGCCGCAGCGCCCTCACCGCGGGGAGGGGCCCCGCGCTGAGGGCCCGCCGTGTGCGTCACTAGGGCTCTCTGGAGAGGAACGAGCCCTACTTACAGGTTTATTTTTTTTCCCCGAGACCCAGATTTCCTAAATCCCGATTCAGTTTAAAAATAGCTCTCAGAAGGATTTCAGCGCCCCCGCCCGTGCGTGCTCTGCGCCGGGGAGCATCCCTGGCGCGGCAGCACCGGCGCCGGGCAGGGCAGCAGCCGGGGGAACTCGGGGAACGTGCTGCGAAAGCACCGCGCCCCAAACGCTCCTGCTGCACCCCCGCACTGACCGCAATACGGCAGCGCCGGTGGGAAACAGCTGGCTTCGGATTTAATCCGAGAAGAAATTCGCACGCTGCACCGTGTGGCATTCAATGTCTGGAAATAGCTCCTCGATCTTAGAGAAGCTCTTTGTCGAGTTTTTACTGAAATTAATAGATCATGCTCAGTTTCATATCAATAGACATGCCTCTACTGATTTCATACATTAACTAGTTTATGATCAAAAACTTATAAATAGAGTTATATTAGGAAAAATCCCAAGAGCCCATGCAGGGTTACATAGCTGAAAGTACACACAAGATTCTATCACTATGACTAGAGTGCAAGACACTTTAAACTATTAAATCCCCAATATTCTTCAGGTCTGCAATGTGGGAGAATGCAATTTTGCTTAAAGAGCACCATCTTAAATTAAAAATGGATTGAGCAAAATCTCAAATACAGTTTTCCAGGTGCTTTCTGAAGTTACATCAGTATAATGTGGAAGGGCTGGTGACAGTTGACCTTGGTTGAAGGCCAAAAGAATTTGTTCTTTCACTCATCATAGCGCAGAAAGAATTCTTAATGCTAAGAAGTGAGTTCATGTGATGATTATATATCACAGTAAAAACAAACAAACAAACCCTCCAAGATCCAAACAAAGAAAACATGCACACACCCCGCAACCCCTCCAAACCCTGTAGTTAAAAAGACTGTAGTTAAAACAGAAAAAAAAGGATGAAAGTAGAAGGTGGAAGGAAGAAAAGGAAGTAAAAGCCTTCATAGTACATGTCTCTGTTCTTAAAATCCATCATCAGCACTCAGTACAACAAGAGACTGTTACCACTCTGGAGTTTCTCAAAAGACTCCCACAGAATTCAGCCAGAATTAATCTGATGGGTCAAGGTAATTTCAATATAGCTATTTAAACTTAATATCCTCTTTAAAGAGAAACCCAGGATTCTTCCAATTCTCTACGATGAATATAGTGCAGCTAGAAGTAAACTTTAAAATTAATGTGAAGTCCACAGTGCACCCTTCTGAGTTTCTGAATTTTCTTTCATTTATTCTGTCTATCTAATATCTAAAATAAAGATATTATTACCTAATGAAATTTATGCTGGGGCCGGGGGGACGCAGGGAGTTGACAGGAGGAAGAGAAGCAGGAAAAAAATCTGTGGTGTCTGACTGAAGGAATTTTCTTGGGATGGGGGAGGGTGACTGGGCAGAAATTTTGACCCTAGTCCTGCAATTGTATCCATCAAGCCTGACCTCTGTGCTACTGCAGTGCCTGCTGGGTTCAGCTCAACTATGTGCTAAATTCAGGGCTCTGTACTTGTGGAACTACCTGGGGATTTGGGACCATCCAATTTCCTGCTGTGGAGGGAGGATGAATTCACCTCTGTGTAAATTCCAGAAAAGGAGCAAGACACTTCCATAAAATAAACTTGCATTTATTTTCAGATCCTCTGTTCTCTCACTCAATCCCATAGAGATCATGCTGAACACAGCATGCCTCCCCTTCTCCAAATACACGTGCCTCCCCTTCTCCAACTACCTGCTAACACCAGGCCATCACTGCTGAAAAACAGTGTGTTCCAGATTTCTCTAATGAGAAAAACCTCACACAAAGTTTGCAGTCACTGTTCAGTAGCTGCTGCTGCGGTTGCCAATCCAGCTTTGAGTCTGTTTAAATGTTGCATCCCAAATATGACCTCTGTCAGTGTCTTGTCCATCACTGTGGAGGGCAGTGGTTGTTTTGTGCTGCCCCCCACCCCATGCTTTATTTCTTGGCAACCTCTGAGTGCACAGGACAGGGAGGCAAGCACCTGCAGGTCCATGCAGCTGGACAATGTTCTGAATGCACATCTCCATCCACAGCTGTCTCCTGATTGCTAGAGGAGCTGCACAGAAACTCCGAGATTTCCTGCCAGCTACATCAGGTTAGTGTGCAACTGTCTGTGCTCAAATGCCAAGCTTCTCCAACTCCCAGGAATGAGATCAATCACAGGTGGATGAAATCTGGCAAGAGCCAAGACAGCTGCATCGACACGTAAGAGAAAGTTGGTGCATTCCATAATGGACGCGTGCTTTTAGCTGTGCTTTCAGCTGTGCTGTGCCAGGAGACTGACCCACAGGCACACCAGCAGTGCACTGCTTGGTCACCTGGGACAGTGACCATTGCCCTCCGGGGCGTTTTGTGTGGCGCCCACTCCAGCAGGTGAGAGCTGCGATCAGCTTTTGGTTTGAGGGAGATGAGAAAATCTAATGGGATCATTATAGGGAATACTGGCTTGTTGCACTTCTTGGCACATTTAAAAGCAGAACCTTAAATATATGTGGAAAAACAAAGCAAAAATGTAGGAACTTGTAGCATCGTCATTGCTCTGGGGTTTTATAAGCTCCTGAGCTAAGCCTCTTCGGATCTTCATTCTGGATTGCAAACTTTCAGTGCTAATACACTTCATCTTTTGTTATATACAGCTGTAAATATATTTCACAGAATCACAGAATATTGTTAATTGGAAGGGACCTACAAGGATCGTCAAGTCCAAATCTTAAGCGAATGGCCCATTTGGGGATCAAACCCACAGTCTGGGTGTTCAGCAACACCATTCTCTAGCCAAATGAGCTTATCTCAAATTGTTGTGGATTCAATGCATGGAACCAAGCTGAACTTGAGCAAGAAAGTTTACTACAGCCTACAGCTGCCTAGATACTCGGGGGGCAACCTGCAGCCTGGGTTGTGTGCCTAAGAATACATTCAAATAAGAAGGGACCTCTGAGGTGTTTCACCACAGCCCTCCTGCAGAGAGGGGTGCAGCAGCTGTGATTGTCAAAGTCCTTAACAGTGGCAGGATGACACATCTCTGTCGAGGCTTCAGAAAGATGCCATTTTCTTTAGTGATATTAACTTCATAGTTATTAGGACTCCTGGTGGGAGACTGGGCTTTGCTTCCCATCAGGGGGGAAGGGAGCTGAATTTGATGCACGCAGGATGTCTTAGAGATCTTATGTAAAAGTTGTCATAAGTCACTATTTGTTTTCTCTGTTCTGAGATGCTGTGGTTCAAGCAAGATGGTCCAAAAAATGCCTACAGGACTGGGTTGTGCAATAGGACTGGTTGTCCAGCTAAAGCAAGCTGACAAAGTCTAATCTGTAGATTGGACTTGTTAATGAGTAAGCTCTTCTAAAGAATCAGACAAAATTAAGACATAAAATGCGCTTTCATGGATCAGACACTTAAGTACTTTTGAGGTTTCCCAAGCAATCAAGAATGAAAATACCTCAACAAAAAATCAAGTATTTTCTAAAGATGCTGAATGTCCAGGGGCAATCATGATCTTCCACAAACATCTTGTGCATTCACAGTTCTCCCTGGTTTCAGCAAGTCTGAAAATCAAGCTTCTTGTTGGGGAATCCTAATAAGGATTTGGATCCTTGTGTTTAATACCTTTGCTATTAATAGTTTAGCCATTGAATAATTAATAGCTCTGCTATTAAGCTGCATTGTAAAGGGCTAACAAATTTTGACAGAGAAAAAGGAAAGGGTCAGTTAAATATCTTCAGTGATACTGCATATGAAAATCAAGAACTTGCTCACACTGTCTTATCACACAAGTGTTTAAAGAAAAGATTTTCTGGGATTCTTGCTAGCATCTCCTAGGATTGTTGTCTCTTGTCCATGATGATTTTATGAAGAAAAAGGGTATATTTCCTCATAACGTGGCGGTGACAAGTTATTATGGGCATAGTCTTCCAGCAGTCCTTCTGGTTCATCAGAACTGTCTTCTGACCTGAAAAGAGGAAGAGGAGCAGATACAAAAAGAATTTACCAGAGCATTCACGTAATTTCAGTGTTTCATCCTCCCAGCCTTATCTGGGAAAAGTACTCCCAGCTAATGAAGAAAATGACATGAGATGAAGTTTTACTGATATTCAGCTGTTTGCTGTGGTTTTTTCAAGAAATTTAGAAGTGTCAGGAGGTGACCTTTGTCTCCACCCTGCCCATGCCTGTCATTCATATTTGCTGAGAACAATAAGTTAGTCAGCAGTTTTTGAAAAAGACTTTGATAAATGAACTAACAGTGACTTGTGTTGCACAAAGGATATAATTATGAGTAATTCCTATAATTAGAATATTTTTCCTTGGAGCAAAGAACTATATAAAATAATTTTGTGTACAATTTGAGCAGCTCCATACTGCTGTGCAACATGACCAATATTGTTTATGCCTCAAAACTGGGAAAAGAGGAAGAGCTGGAAGGTTGTTTCAGTGGGACAGCAGCATGTTGTGACCAGGTGTATTTAGGAGGGAGAGTATCTGGTACCAGACTGATTCTTGCATTGTTGCAGAAATGCTGTTTTTGTGCTGACTCATGTGTTGTAATTGTATTTGAGTGGAAGCCTCTGGGTCTGCATGATGCCTTTTCCTGGTCTTAAAATTGGAGAGCCAGACACAGTTAAGGGACAAGGGGTTTTACCTCAGTATTTAGTAAAGATCCTTACGGTGCATAACTTCACCAAGGTGGGATGTGCTGCAATGCACCCCCACAATAGATGGTGTATACAATTTATAGACCTTAAAAATCAGCATATCTAGCAGGGGTGCCCCAATGGGAGGCCTGGATGAATGGTGTGATATTCCCCCATCTGTGGAATTCCCCCTGCATGGGCGAATCTCTAGTTTACAGGATGTGTTCCAGAGAGGACCTTGGTTTCCCAAGACAGTGTAGGGTTTTCTGGCCTCCTACCACCCCCATAAGGCCTTTAGGATGTTTGGTCTCCTGGCCTAACAGAAATCTAGGGCTATGCTAAGTTATCAGACTTAAGGAATTGCAAGCATGCATGCTAAGAATACTGAGGATATATAAAAGTTATATATATAAACACACACACACACACACACACACACACACACACACACACACATATATATATATATATATATATGGTATATTTAAAAAAAGGCAAAAAATCATCTTGGTATCATACACATAATAACCAAAAGGTGGCAAGATAAACATAAGAAAACCTCCACAAACAGGAACATATATATCTTAAAAAGTAACAAGAGGTTTAGTTCACCAAAAACCAAAAGGCATTTACAAGTGAATTTAAATTGTATAAAAACACTTTGCAGGAAAAGTATGTTTCCTCACTCAAGAAAAATTCCTAACAAAGACAAAAAAAAAGCCTGAGAAGGATAAAACCCTGGACTAGCTGCAGTTTCTTATGAAAACCCCACATTGTACTTATAATACTCAGAAGCCTATGTCCAAACACACTAAGGCATTTCAGAAGATGTACCTCTGATTCCTGGAATTCTCTGCAGCATAAGCAGTGTAGCTCTCATCTCCAGTAAAAGCCAGGTTGTCCAGGGCGTAGGCAGGGCAGAAGTGAGGAGAGCCCGAGGCGAAAAGTGGCGAGGTGCTGGGGGGAGCAGCAGCGCAGCAGCTGAGCCCTGGGCGCAGGTGGCCGGGACTGACGGCAGCGCCTTCCTGGGACGGGTACGGCGGAGGGATGTACTGTACCACTGTGGCACCGTGGAAAGTTATAGGCTGGTTAATGCCAGTGAAGACAAAGGACTGTCCGCTTGCAGCCTGGTCAAGTTCCGGCGTATTTTCCTCTCTTTCTTTACAGGGCTTGCACGTAAGCATGTTAAATTTACAAACAGCAATCAGAATAAAAGTCACCCCAACAGACAGCAGAATAGGCCCTAGTAACTGAGTCCACTCCAGGTGAGTAATGCCATCATATTTTATCCATCCCATCACAGTGAAAGTGATCCCCACCAGTCCCAAAAACACACCTGAAAAGAGCAGAGTGGTGCCAGCTTTATCCCCATCTGACACCAGGGCATCAGATCTGTTTGGCTGACAAGGAGTAACAGAAAAAACATTCAAGGAGAAATCTTCTACATTGTTGTTGTTTTGCTCCATTACTGGCTATAATGTATCCTCTCCTTCAAGAGAAAGGGGGCTTGTAAAGGACTTGGCAGAGCATTTAAAGTCGAAGGTTCCGGTTAGTTATACAAGAACTTTGTGTGTGTATGGTTAACAGAGTCCATCATGTGAAAGAATAAACTTTGCTTGAAAGAACAAAGGTCTGGGAAGTGAAGCCTGAAGCCATCACTAAAGATTTCTTGAATTACCACCGTCACTTCCGAAATGGATTCACCCCTGCATGACTGCCTGTCTCCTTGTGTTTCTTCTTCTTTAATTTAGCACCCATGATACCGTGCTCATTCTGGAATGCAGAAAAAGCAAGCTGAAGCTATTGCAGCTTTTCCTTGGCCCCAGCTAGCTGATGCATCCAACATATGGACAGCATATGTTTAGTCAAGAGCAGTGAAGAGATCCTTGCTCTCCACTTCCTGCTCAATTTTCTGCAGGAAAATTCCACGTGGCCATTGCTAGGAATGCTTTTCCATGCTCTCAAGCGTGACATTTATAGTCATGCCTGAACCTCTGTTGCAGCTCATTTTGCATTTCATGGTTTACAAAAATATCAAAGTATGCTTTCTGATATTTTTCTGGAGCAACCAGTAGGTGAGCAGGAGGGTAAGCAGCAACAGGATGGCGAGTGCTGAGAAGCCTGGGAGAGCTGTTGGCTGTGGGAGAAACATTATTTCAAGACAGACAAAGTTTTCCACCAGGTTGAAGCAGTAAAATTACCCTATAATTTCCCCTTAATTCTGGACATATTTTGTTGTAGGTTTTAAGGTTTATAGAGAATAATGTCCAAACACCCTGAATAGCACATCACTGCAGGAAAGAGAAAGCACCTCCTGTAACGCTAAACTTGACAGAGTGAGGAATCTTATCCTGTACTCACAGGTATCTAGGATACTTCTGCATATCATAATGAATTGTTCTGCTGAACTCATGTCTCATATATTAAACAGACAGATTATTGAATTTTGAAATTTTCTGTTTCCTAACAGTTTCAGACTAAAGCAATTCCTATTGAAAGGTTCTGGTAGAATGTCTTTGTATAATTCCTTAAGGAGGAAAAATCTCCAACTACTCTGCCTGTTTTGACTAGCATGGCAGGGACACACACAGGACACTGATTACTGCTTGGGCAGTAGAACACATAATGTCATTTCCTGCTACCAGCAGCTGTGGGGAAGCAAGCTTATCCTGAAATTTGTAAAACTAAAAATAGCTCTAGAACTAGAAAATTTACCTTTTAGACTGTTTCTTCAAAGTCAGTAAAAGTGCCTTTAGTCTACTGTGCATTCACATGAGACTGCGTGACAACAGCTCTTTCCTAGAAAGGGCTGTTCACAAAATTCGGCACTTTTAGAACTGATGCTGAATGCAATTGCAGATGTCGTTCTCATTTTTTAGTGCAGAGACCTTGAGGAATATTAGTGCTGGATTCCTTTAAAAAAAAGCTGTGAAGCTTCCAAATGCAGCATTATTAATCGCCCCTGCTACCCAGGGTGTCAACAAATTTTCTGACAAATACACTCAAGATCAGCCTTTACCACAACACTAAGTCTGGTCAGGATTCTCTGCACCTCTTGAGCAAAGAGATCAGTCTTGCAGTGCAGTGGTTTTGTATGATGACAACTAAACTAGAAAGTGCTGAAATACTACATAAACTGTCCTTGCACTGGCAATTACAGCCGAAGTCTAAATCACCTTTAACCTTACATTTGTTAAAGTTAATGGAATGAACTGTTACTGCTCTTTACAACTCAGGTTTTTCCATACTATGAATCATCCTTGCCGCTGCTGAATCTTTCAGGCTTTCCAACATCCTTTTAAAAGCAGCACCATATTATAATAGCTGTCCAGCTAATAGTTTAAACAGATGTAGTGTCACCTTGCTCCTGTCATTCATTCAAGAACTCTGCAACTGCTATTTGCAATGGGATTGTACTGGAGCACTTCCTCAATCCCACTGAGTGATCCTTAGATCCTGTCTGGAATCAGACTTTTCCAATTTGGGTGTTGTGTCATCCCGCAGCCGTCTCTTTTCCTCTGGTCTAGGACATGACTTCATGTGTTGAGCAAGTGCACAGTAGAGCTGGAGGACACAGGGTTCTTTTTTTCCTTCCAAACCTATATGCCACTTGAACTTTTAAAATAGGATGGAAAACATTCTCTATTTGCTGTGCTGGGATCTACAAAATTACTCCTTTCCCTGTAAACTGTTCCCCCTCTGTAAGTCAGCTTCCTCTATGCATCCCCATATTCCTCCAATTATTTTCCCAGAGAGTGGTAATGCTGCAGTCAGGCAGCTGTCAAGCTCTTAAGAGATTACTGGATCACACTGAGATTTTTAGGACCAGTGCTTTTCTTTGCAAATAAGTGTGTGTTTCTGGGGACTCACTTAAAAATGTCAATTTACCAAATGCATCCCTTTTACCTGGTATGACTCCTAAGCAAAAGTTTTGTGAAACCAAGGAAAATTGGTTGGAGAGAGGTTTTTTAGAATGAGTGCTGTTTTCAGATCTCAATACAGTTCTGTTCTCATCTGCTTCAGACCTTACCCATGAACACAAGCATTGCTTTGCTTTCTGTTCTTCCACCTAATTTTCTATCACCAGGGGAAGTAGTAATAGAAAATATTGCCTGCAGTGCTTGCTGCTGGAAGCAGGTGCTCTGCACCCCCTCAGTTCTCTAACCTGTTTGATAAGTCATCCTAGTGAACACTGACAGGCTACCTCTTAACCCTTTTTTCTTCTCTTTATGTTACCTATTTTACACAGTTGTTCACATTATCAGCCTCTTGTAGGAAGGTTTTATTTTCTTACACACCAGTTATATAAGCAGGGACTTAGTCAAAGAGCATGCAAAAGAAGCTGCACAACACAGGGTATTGCACATTGATTAGCTTTAAAATAAGTAAGTACAAATTATCAGTCCATAATATAGGGAGATTAAGGAGTCAGTGGTTTGAGTTAGTGGGATTTTTCCTAGAGAAAGGTAACTGCAGATGGTGTCTTTAGTGGAAAACAATTACACATGAAGAACCACTGTGAGTGGGCCTTTCACCCCTGTACTATTGCACTGCCAGCCTCAAAGCACAAATAAATTGTGAGGAGCCGGTTCAGCCAGCTGTCCACAACTGCATTTACCAGCAAAGTGGCTTTATATGCTCCCGAAAATGTTGTCTTGTGATCAGGCACACCAAAATGAAGGTTTTTCCATGCCTAATTGTTGAGGTGCATGCATGCGTGATAGAGGGAAGAGCACTGAAGTCTGGCATGTTCAGTGCAGAATGTGGAGGTATTGGCACTACAAGTCATGACTCTGAAGAGATAGGATGGAAAAGGGATAAGTGAATACAGCAACACAAACCACAAAGGGCAAAGATGGGGTGGGTGCAATCACCCCCTTGCAATATTAAGTGCTGCTATCACAAAAACATAGCAACATTGCAAAGACCTGTGCAATCTGTTTTTCAGATGAGTTAACTGTTGATTTTTTTAGCTGCTGTTGATGTAGGAAGAAAGACTTTTCCTAGAAAAAAGGTATTCATTTATATTTTTGTGTATCTCTCATATGCAAAGGATTGCAGTGCTGCAGTTAGAAGCAGAGCAGTGTCAGTGCAGGCAGCAAGGAAGAAAGACCTTCACTTAGAGAGGGCAAGCAACCCTTACCTCCCACTTTGCCTGTTTAAGTAAGTGTGAATCAGTAACCAACTTGATTTGCTCACTAGCATTTCTATGTCAAACATTTAAGCTAACCTCAGAGTAGAAAGGAGGTTATAGCACCATTAGTGGGACAGTAAAGTATCTCACTTCCTCAATAAAAATGCTATTCTGTATTATTTTAAGCTACTTTTATAGTTTTACAAGGTGTTGCTTCCTTTCTAATACAGACATTTCACTCCTACTCCTCACATCAAAAATTCCTCCCTCTCCTGCCGTTCACCCAGTGGTAGCCTTCAGTGGTGAGGGCAGACTTGCTAGCCTCTTACTTACATTTTCTGACCTTGCTGCAACAGTTTTCAACAGCACAGTCGCCAAATACTGTGGCACTGGCCATGTTAACCACTTCAGTGCTGAGCACTTCATGGAGGGGCACCCAGCACATCCATTGAGTTTTCATGTAATGATTTTTCTAAGTAAAAAATAGAAGACGCTAATACAGTGGTAAACAGATCTATTCCTAAGCATCTTCTCAAAATCACAGAGAGATAAATTCTGTTTTCAATCCTTGTTTTGAGAGGTAACACCTTCTCAGGATGCTGAGAGACTGCTTTTTTAGAAATGAAGTTATCCACACTGAAGACTCTGCAGTAGATGAACAAAATACAATAATCTTGAAGGAAAACAAGATTGTGTTTCTGTTACAGAGAACTCTGATGAATGAACATATTCTGCTTGATTTGTCTGGTCTCTTTGGTACATCTTGGGAACAACCGACTGAGCAAATTGAAGGCAGCAGAAAAGGTTGATACTTTTTCACTTTACTACCAAATGCAACTGATTATTTTTTTTTAAGATGGTGAAATATTTCCAGATTTGTGAAAACATGTTTTGATACTTAGCCTTTTCAGAAAATGAGTGTTCTGGATAAAGCTAACATGGGCTTTGTTGCATGGGATTTTTCCAGTAAAATATCCCAGCTTCTGTTCTTGTTATATGATAGAAGGATAATTTGAGAGAGAAACAGACTCCTTAGACACATGCAAAGCTATGTAGGCATGAATCATACACGGCAGTCGGCCCCACTGTTTAAACAACAGGAGCAAAAGCTTAAAAAATAATCACAAAGATGGCAAACTACAGCTTGTATTGCAGATTGCATATAAGGACAAACATCCTTGAAAAACTCACTAGGTAAAAAATGTTTGAGAGAAGAGAGGACAAAATGCCTACTGGCTTTTGTGGATTCCCTTTCTTCATACAGACATTTCTAATGGCTGAGTCATGCCAATTTAATCAGCTCCTACATACTAAATCCCCCTCTGTGCTGTGTTTGCTCATTACTCTGCATGGATAAGCCCCTCAGCTCTACTGCTGGCTAAATATACTTCCCTCACTGGCTGGTTTGTTTTTGTGTGGCTGCACAAAGAGCTGTCCTGGCATAACTGAGGGAATGACACAGAACTGGAAATAAATGGCAAATGCAGGAGCTCCTGAACATCTCTCTAAAGCAGTCAGCAGGTGAGAGGCATGTTCATAGCAAGATGAGAAAAAGGTGATCACCTTTCCCTAGGCACAGGAGGGAATTTAAGTTCTTAATTCATAGTCTGGCATCCTGTTACACTCAAGTTCTCTGAAATTCAGCATAGTATATGACAAGTGGAGATGTAACTGGGGTCCCAAGGCACAGAGCTGTTCAGACACTCAGCTGAACAATTCAGAGATCACTCTTACAAAAAGTTTTAATGCTGGCAAATACACCAGGCTGAACCAAGCCCAAAGCCCTGCCACTTTTCTGAGCACAGAATCCAATTTCTTTTTCTCAAACAGCATTCATAGCAAGTTGTAAGATGTCAAAGATAGCAGCAACTCAGTTCTTCCTACTACAAGCTAATCCTTCAGTTTGGGAACAGGTGCAAACAAACACAAAATAACATTAGAACCTCCACCCTGACGGCAGGCCACTACCACTACCCTAGGGTGGCAGCAGGATAGAAGAGCTAAGAGGGTTGTACTTCTGAAGGGTCTGTCAAGTGTTATGTCAGTTAAAAACATTTGTTGCATGGGTTTCCATGAAACTGCCTCGCCCGCATCTGCTGGTAAGTAATGTCTGCACCTCAAAGATAGCATTGCTTTGTGGCACTCACTCTCACACAATAAGCACTCCTTGTATAATCCATGAATAATGATATAAAACAGCAGAATAATCCCCCTGAAACCAGTGGTTACCACAGTTAAACTGCTAGCCTATTATCTATCCTCAGGGCTGCCTTTGGGCTCTTAACTGCAGCTAAAACTGATTTTCCAAGGGATTATACTTACATAAGGACCAGAGATAGCCTAAATATGGAGTGTTTGTTACCAGGCAGACCAAAAGGTAACCATTGAAGCTCTTCATAGCATCATGGCATCTTCGTAGCAACCTTAACATCCCTACATGTGAATGCTCCTCGAGTACTTGTAAAGGCCATAACTCTGCAAACAAGTCATGCAAAAATAGAAATAAAAACACTTCCTAATTATTTCTTTCTTTGAAGCTCCAAACAGATTTAATTAAAATAATAAAAAAAGTTGGTTTCTACTCAGTGGCTTCATTATAAAAAGAACAGCTATAAATAGAAACTGAAGCTGTAACAGAACAAGATGAGAATTTAATGTTCTTGCAGTGAACTCCCTTCAGACTACTTTAGCAGAGGCCCAGGCTTCTCTAGTATTTCTTGAAATCCAAGTTCATTGTTTATTCTTCCTGATGAAAAATTAGACACAGACAACATTATTGCTTTTATTACAAAATGTAAATAAATTCAAAAATTGTAAATCTCTGTGTACATTTTATTAAAAATTAAGTGAACTGTCAGTCCTTTAGAAGCTGGTGTCAGATGTGTCTAAGGAAACAGATAAAAAAGATAAGGAAGAAGATGGTGAATATTCACTATTTGTTATTGATGCTTTCTCTTCATATTTTGGTGGTGGTTCAGAAGAAAGGTATGGCATTGGTAAAATATCTGAAGGTGAGCTGCTTCCAGAAATTGTATATATGGATTCACAGTCTCCAACAGCAACTGTTCTTTCATCATCACCAAGCTGTGCTCTATAAAACACAAAACTATGTGTTAGCATAATTCATTTATCTACAGTGAGTGAAATTTGACTTGATTTATATAAACATGCACACACTTCCTAAAAACCCCTGAAGCAAAGAACTTGCATAAGCATTAAGATTTCATTCTATGGGCTACATTATGACTCTTCATATGAAAAGTCTATAATTTCAGAGGGGAAGGGCAAAACAAGCTCCCTTCTAACCTTTCAGATCACCTGTCACAGCCTGGCTTATGGGTATTAGCTGCTTTTGGCTGTGCTGTTTCACAATCTTACTAAATCTTCTGATCCCTAGCTCTTAATGTATCTTCCCTTTTGTAGTGTATCACATACACAGTCCCCTTCCTTTATGAAAGACAGTTGCTAGTCTCAGAACTGCATCCAAAAAAAACACCATCCCTAGCCTTTTGAGACCTCACATGAAAGGCAATCAAACTTTTACTAGGAATTCCAGCAATCCATGGCAGACTGAACATGACCATATTGCAAAGTTCCCAGTGACATTCAAGGTGAACAGCCAAGTACTCTGTCCTCCTCTAACAATCATAACTGTATCAAAATTGGTTGAACCCACATTGTTCTCGGTACTTTGCTCATCTCACCCTGGAGCTGGCCCTCAGCATATTGCTTCAGCTGCTTGCCAAGGAAAGGGAAGACCTGCTTGCTCCTCATGATTCACTTCCAGAGCTGACTCATACATCTGTATCCATATGAACACTGAGTGAGGAGCACAAATACAGAGCACAGTCACCTCATCTTCAATGCTGTTACTGGTCTGTGAGGGTTTTCATAGGAGAGGGAAATAGTACAAGACAAGTGCTGAGGTGCTACGCAACAGATTGCAGGAAAAATGCAAGCAGTTCTGGGATGACACCATGACTCAGCTTACTAACAGCTCTCATCCAGCACCGGCTGCAGCACTGTGTTTGCTGACAGAACACTGAGCAATGGATTGAAGAGGCAAATCACCTTTGTCCAGTAGTCACCAACATGCGAAATGTGTATCCCCTGCCATACCTGGGATCTTCAACCATGGCATTGTTATGAACAATGAGGCCATTGCTCCTCTTCCCTGAAACTGCTCAGGAAGCAACTTGCACAAGTCAAGATGCCCTAGCTGCCAACAAGTGCTGAGCCATGAGAGAGCAGGATTGAGGCAGTATCACACTCAGAGGTGGTATCAGCTCAGCAGGTCTCTGTGAGGATGCTAGTAAGCATGGAAGGGCACCAGCTAGAGAATCCCCATCAGAAAACACCACAGGGCAAGGTCAGACATTCTGGGCTCAGTACCCAAGCCTGAGGTGTTTTATCCATTCCACTAGATACTATCCAAAAAACCTGCTTCTTTGTGTACATATGTTCACAAGACAAAGAAATCCACACAAGCATTAAACCACATCCACGTGATGTTCCAACAAGATGGTGACTCCACCACTTCTCCTGAGCAGCCTGTTCCAATGCTTTACAAGCCTTCCCGCAAAAAACCCCTTTCCTAATAGCTAAGATAAACCTTTCCTGGCACATCGTAAGGGCATTTCCTCTTGTCCAGCCACTTGTTATCTAGCAAAAGAGGCCAATCCCCATCTTGTCACAACCCACTTTCCAGCAACAGAAGAGAATAATAAGGTCAAGCCTCCTTTTCTCCAGACTGAAAAACTCCAGCTCCCTCAGCAACTCCTCACATGACTTGTGCTTCAGATCCTTCACCAGCTGTGCTGATCTTCTTCTGTCACATTCCAGAACTCTTTCTCACTAATAAAGACCCAAAACTGAACCACAGAATCACAAAATAGCCTATAGATTAGAAGGGATGTTGTAGATCATCTATTTCCAACCTCCCATGCCTTGGGCAGGGACATCTTTCACTAGACCAGGTTGCTCAGAACTCCATCTAATCTGGCATTAAACACTTCTAGAGATGGGACATCCACAACTTCCCTGGGCAACTTGTTCCAGTGTCTAACCACTGTTACAGTAATGAAATTCTTCCTAGTATCTACTCTAAAATTTCTTTCAGTTTGAAATCAATCCCCCTTGTCCCGTCACTATACGCTCATGTAAAAAAAATATACTCCTCTCCTTCTTGTAGGCTCCCTTCAGGCATTGGAAGGTTACAATTAGTTCACCCTGAAGCCTTCCCTTTTATAGGCTGAACAAACCTGATTCTCCTAGCCTTTCCTCACAGGAGAAGTGCTGCAGACCTTTGCCATCTTGGTGACCTCTTCTGGACTCACTGCAACATCTCCCTGTCCTTCCTGTGCTGTGCCCCCAGAGCTGATGCAGCCCTGCAGGTGGGGTCTCAGCAGAGCAGAGCAGAGGGGCAGAATCCCCTCCCTGCCCTGCTGCCCACCCTGCTCTGGATGCAGCCCAGGACACGTGTGGCTCTCTGGGCTGGCAGTGCCCATGGCTGGGGCAGGTCCAGCCTCTCAGCCACCAGCACCCCCAATTCCTTCTGGGCAGGGCTGCTGGGATCTGTTCATGCCCAGCCTGTGCTGGTACCAGGGCTGCTCTGACCCATGGGCAGCACCTTGCACTTGGTCTTGTTAAAACACATAGATCACCATGGATCTAGCTCTCCATCTTGTCCAGGTCGCCCTGGATAGCATCCCATACTTCAGATCTGACAACTACACCACTCAGCTTGGTGTCATTTGCAAATCCATTCGTATATGTCATTAATAAGATATTTAATAACACTAGTCCCATTATGGACCCCTGAGGGACACAACTTCTCACTGAAGTCCACTGGGTCTCTGACCACCACCCTCTGGATGTGACTGTCAAACCAATTCCACTGAACAGTCCACCCACTGAGTCCATCTCTCTCCAGTCAAGAGAGAAGGATGTTGTGGGGGACTGTGCCAAAGGCTTTACAGTAAAATAAAGATAAATGACACCTGTAACCCTTCTCTTGTCCACTGATGCCATCACTCCACCCCATTGTAGAGGGCCACGGGCTTGATAAGACAGGATCTGCCCTTGGTGCAGTTGTGTTGTCTGTCCTGAATCACCTCCCTGTCCTGCATGTGCAAAGCTCTAGGGGCATCTGTTCTGTGATATTCCCAGGCAGGGGTGGGGCTGACGGGTCAGTATTTCTCAGTATTCCTCTTTTCTACCCTTCTTAAAGGTGGGTACAATATTTTTCTCTTTTTCCAGTCACCTGGGACTTGTCCTGACTGCAGCAACTTTTCAAATACCAGGGAGAGTGGCTTGGCAACTACATATGACTGACATCTACTGACAATTCCCTCAGGACTCTGGGATGTAGATCATCGGGTCCCACAGACTTATGTACATTCCAATTCCTCAGATAGCCATGATCCTGATCTTCTCTTACAGTAGGAGAGACTTTGTCCCCTCAGTCCCTATCCTGCTGTCCATCCACCCCTGAATGGGAGGAGAGGTTTACAGAGGTAAAAAAGTTGTTGAGTACATTGGCCTTCTCATCCACTGTCATCACTTTTCCAGCATTGTTTAATTGGGAGATATCCTTTCTTTGACCTTTCTCTGGTTAATGTAGTGTACCTGTAGAAGCCTTTCCCATTATTCTTTGTGTCCCTTGCCAGGTTCAGTTCCACTTTTGTTGCCTTGGCCTTTCTCATGGCCTCCCTACACAGCTGTGCTTCATCTTTAAACTCTTCCTAGGTCACCTGTCCTGGTTTGTTTCCCTTAACTTTGACCAGCAAATTCCTACTGAGCCATGCCGGTCTCTTGCCCCCCTTGGCTGATTTCTTGCTCCTGAGGATTGCCAGCTCTCATGCTGTGTGCAAGAGTTCCTTAAAGATCTGCCAGCTCTTTTCTACTCCTTTGTTCCTAAGGGCAGTCTGTCAGGCAGTCAGTCACAGACTAGGTTCCCAAAGGACTGGAAGCCTGCTTTCCTAAAGTTCAAGAGCTGAACTTTTACTCCTTAGCCAAGCCCTGTCCTTCAGGGCTGCGCACTCCACCAGCGTGTGATCCCTGTAGCCCAGGCTGCCTCCAGTCCTGGCGTCCAGTTAGCTCACTTGCACTGGTGACCAACAGATCCCGTACCACATTCCCTCTGGCTGTCACCTGCCCCAGGAAGGTGTCCTCCACGCATTCCAGGAGTCTCCTGGATTGCCACAGCCCTCCAAGCTACTTTCCCAACAGCTGCTGGGGTGGCTGAGTTCCCCTGCAGGCCACCACCCTCGGGCACAAGGCCTCCTGTGCTGGAGCAGGAAGGTGTGGTGCATGGGCTCCCCTTGGTCAGGTGGCTGTAGCAGAGCCCAGCCAAAGGCTCCCTTTGCTGCCTCAGTCTCTGACTCCTACCCACAGCTTTCCACCTGCTCATGGGTATTCTTCAGGGACAGCTCTTCACATTCAATCCACCTCTTGCTGTAAAGAGCAATCCCTCTGCCTCTACTTCTTTTCCTCTCTCTTCTGAACAGCCTTGCAGCTATTAAAAGTCACACTCCAGAAACAGGATTCATCCCACAAAGTTTCAGGAATGACAACAAAGCCATAGTCTTCCAGCAGCACAGTGGCTTACAATTGCTTCAGTTTGCTGCCCATACTGTGTGCATTGGTGTAAAGGCACTTTGGCTGAGATGCTGGCCATGTTGCCTTCCTAGAGGAATATCCCTTAGTTCCTTTGAGATAGCTCTCAGTGTTTTCCTCCTGGCTTCTGTTACCTTAGAAGCCCTTGCCTCAACTGCGTAAGACTGCAAACATGCTTCAGTGTGGCCAGCACACTCCAGATTCAGAAGCAAAGGACCACTGCAAGCATCTTTTTCTTCTAATCTTTGCCTCCCATTCCACAGTTTGCCAGGAACAAGCAAACTGTCCCCCTACCCTTGAACAGAGAATTTAGATGCCCTAGTCCCACTGGCCACACTACTGTTGATACGGATGCAACTGGCTGCCTTGACCACTTGGGCACCGTGATGGCTCATGCCTAGGTGCTGTTGACCACCATTCCCAAGTCCTTCTCTGCCAACTTTCCCCACACTCATCACCAAGAGCAGCGGTGGTGCTTCCAACTATTACCAAACCAGTTATATTTCTGTAAGAGGTTGGAAAATGCTTTTAATATGTTAAGTGTACTATCCCTATGTTCATGGTTAATGCTTAGTTTTGTCCCATACAGTGCTTAGTACAAATACAGACACTATTGTGGGTCTTGTGTTATTTCCCTACATCTCTGACTAGTAAGTCTTATTCCAGTTAATGGTGACTAATATGTAGTAGCTGATATCTTAGTTTTGAGAAAAAGGATTGTATGTCAGAGCAAAGAACAGTAAGAGAAGTACATTATGACCTGATGACTGATTTGAGACACTCTCAAGGAGAAAAGATTCATTAGAAGATCTGGAAGCATATCCAAATAAGTCCATGGAAATAATTAGCATATATATATATATATATATATATATATATATATATATATATATATATATTCAGGAAATGTGATGAATATGTATTAGTTTCAGGAAAATAACTAGGTCTGTTAGGTTACTGAGCAAACATGATGTGTGGAGAACTACCCCTTTGTAACCTAACAAATTGGTCGGAGAGTTTATTTCCCAGTTTCCAGTGACACAATGTTGCACACAGTCTTGTGAATTAAAGTCATTAAATGATAGTCCCACATAATTTACAGCTGAAACCCAGGCTGATGTAAGACCATTCTAAAGATATTAATTCAAGTCATTTCTGAATCATTAACAGCGTGAAAATAAGTTAGGGACTCCAGACATGTGACACCTAGCTCTGACTTCTGGTATGTGACCCTTACAGTGATATCTTTTACCCTCAAGTTACCAGCGTAGTGGTGGCAACCCAGAGGGGAAAAATAACCCTGCAAGTTCCTGTGGCACAGACAAGTCTTTGATAAGTTGGCAGCTCCTGCTCCCCGAGTCTGGTAGTGTATCAGGCAATTCTGTTATAATCCACATATGTAAGGAATGCCTGCAAGGGTAAGGTACAACATCTTTAAATGAAACTAGCTTTGCAGTCTCCCTTATCAGCATGCTGGAGCCTTCTGTGATATCAAGGAATCCCTTAATCTCAACACATGGCCACAGCAGGAGGAAGGTAATCAGCACCCTCACTTCCTCAAGGCAGAGATAAGGGACATGGGAGAACTGAACACATTGGCGGACAAAGCAATGTCCCCAGGGTCTGTGGGTATGTGTCATAAAATACTTGCAGCTGTTTCCACAGAGGCTCCTAAAATCTGGCAATATGCATATCACGTCACTACCACACTGCTGTCAATGGCATCCCCTCTTGGACAATCTGTGGAAGAAATCTACTGTGGGGCATTGATTTAAGAACTTCAGAAGTTCTTTCCAGTCATAATAATAATAATTTAATCCTCATAAAGAACACTCTGCAGTTTGTAGCTCCCCTAGTATACAACAGTATTTAAATGCCAATTCAAGTAAAGTATCTGAAGTAAGTTGAGTTATGCACTAGAAAACTTTGTCATGCCTAGTAGTTAATTCACAGTGATTATATAAGAACAGGGTCTTGGATACCTAAAGAATCCTTGGATACCTCAGATTCCCAAAGTCAGAGATGAATAGTCTTACCCATCAGTGAAGAGAGAGTGGTATGGTGGTGGATCTACACTTGTAGGCAAAACACTGGGCATAAGACAATGAGTCAGAGTTGGCGACACAGGGTCAGCAAAATAAGGAGGTGGTGGGTGTGGGAATACCATCACAGAATCACCTAGGGGAAAGAACACCATTTACTACCTCTGAAGAACTGAGCACCTCTGGTTATATTGACAGCATTCTATAACTTTTACTTGCCTAGCTTTTAAGACAAATTATCCCACATACAGAATTGATACATTTTAGTCTGTTGGAGTAGGTTGGAGGTACATTCTAAATAATCCCAAAATAAGATACATTCTAAATGTAAAAATAAAGATGCAGCATATTTATAACTGAAGGATTTAATTTAGACAACATAGCTGACATGGGGAAGTGTTTATCTAGCTAAAAAACACAAATATGGTTGGCTGTCTACAAGAAGCCAAAGTGCAAAGCACACAGTTACTGTTGAAACATTTTAAGGATTGGAAAGTATTTTGTTTCCCTCCCAAAAATAAAATAAGTAATTCCAAATTTCTCCATAAGTACTGCAATGCTGTAACAGAAGCCATTAATAGCTCTGAGAATGATTTTGTGTGCTGTGACAGTTTCCTTACTAAGTTACTTGTAGCTCAAGGCATGCTAACCACAACTATTGATACACAGTTCGCTACATCAATATATTGTACAGCAAAAAAATTTCCACTCCGTAATTGAAGAGTTTAAATTCATGATTATATCTCTTACTGACTGAGGATGTGGCCACAACTTAAAAAATACAGGACATTGGTTACGAATCAGAATCTTCTGTTTAAGGGGCCAGAGTTGAAGGCCAAAATAGATCTTAATATAGTCACAGAATTCTGATCTGCAGTGTCAATTACACAGTTGGAGAAGAGAATTTGGGTTCTCATTTGTGTCAGGTTATGTTGCTTTACACAGTCAGACCTTACTTTTTGTGCCAAAGAGAAATTTTCTGCCTTTTTGAGAAAGGTAACTGAACTGACCATACAGAAAGCATATGAGACAAAGTAACATTATTCTATTTTGTCTGTCCTGACATGGCAGAACTGACATGCTGAGAGCTCATACTAAGTAAGCAATAATAATAAATAAGTAATATCTAGTCATAAATTATTAGTGGAAAAAAAACCCCACCTAATTCCCAGTGTATAGTTCCAACTCAGTTTTTTACTCACCTAATGTAACCTGAAAAGATTCAGGGCTGTGAGGATGTTGTTCACTTTCACAGGATTCTTGGTTGAGATATAAGTTTTGCTTCTTTTTAACATGAGCTATCACGAAGAAAGACAACCCAATGAGCACAATCAAAGGTCCCAAGATTTGAAGTGACAGGAATCCACAACCCTGGAGGTCTGTGTCAGAAGTGCCAGTGTGGTTGAGCTGTATCATATGCCAGCCAGGGCTGCAACCAGGAACCCAAATGCCCAGGATGCTAATTAACATTCCACTAGATAAAAACAGGAATCCAAATATGAGAAACTGGGCAAACTGACAGTTCCCATGACAAAAAACAAGGCTGTACACCTGCTCATTTTGCAATTGTCTTTGTCTTATATACATCCTGGCCCTTGATCGTGCCAGTAAAATACAAACCAGTCCAGTTAGAGCCAGCCCTGGCCCAGCAGCCTTAAGGACCCCATTACAGTCTCTGACGCTTTCAGATGGACATGTCTGGAGAACAAAGACTGAAAGAAGGAATCCAGCACAGAGCAACACAACTCCAAAAACAAAAAGGAAAAAAATAAGTTTCCCACGTTGTCCATTACTTCCTTCACCTCCTGGCACAGCAACAGCCACTGGATACATTACAACGGAATCTCTTCAAGCAGATGAGTTGTTAGAAATAAATGGCAGCAAACTACAGCAGATCTGTGAACATGAAAATAAACAAACTGAAAGAAGAAAACAACCCAGCAAGATTAACTACATTATATTTCTTACTTTCAAATTTGTTACTCAGCCTTTATTGTGTATGCTCCTGTAATTTCTGTTTTGCAGTACCTCCACTATGGATTACAGGGCCTACTCAAGTTTGCTGTTAAATGCCAACAGAAAAACAGAAATTGCTTTACAATTCAACTTAAACATCTTGTAACTGCTATTGCACAGCTAAATTGTTTCTTTAGAGAAATAGTCTTATGATTAATAGGACCTTACTTTGAAAGGTTGAATATTTGGAACAAGGACAAGTTAGCTTTCCCTGTAAAAAGAGAAAGCTACAGGAAATTTGTGTGCTGAACTGCAGAAAGTGTGAGAGATACTATGTTAATGCAAATGAACAATTACTACTGGACTTTTTAACCAAGTAAATCTTCTATTACATACTTTCTGAGAGCATATAAATCTTTCTTCTCTTTCCACAGGCAGTAAAGACCTTTCTGCTTCTCTCTTTAAATGAGCTTCCTGTCCTACACTACTGCAAAAGCAAATACTGGTAAGATTTTTGGCTCCGTTCTGAAATAACAAAACAAAACAAAAAACATTCTAAAGACCAGTTCAAGTCTCACTGATTTCATAGTTAGAGTTGGTAAGCATAGTGCTCCTACATTTCCCTTCAACTCCCCCTACTTCTGAGAATTTTGTCTTTGCTCAAAAGATCTTTAAAATAAATTAATGAAGGTGACTCCCAGAAGACTTCTGACCCCACAAGACTCTAGATTCAGCAGCAAAATAGAAGAAAACAGTTTTGAGGCCAATAACAGCCCATATGGTCACATGGATAACCAATCAGCTGGATGTGGATTTACCGGGGCAAGAGAAGCCTGACTGAAAGTTAAGACAGAGTTCCAGTCAGTGAGCTCTAGTACAAAAAACCACCCACTGTTACCTACAAGGAAATTTCTGCTACTTTGACACAATGGCCTACGGAGCCAGAGGGACACTAGCCACCAGATGGTGACTAGCAACCGTGGGAATCTTGGCTAACATCCATCAAAAGCCAACCTGAAATGCAGGAGAAGTTCAGACTATGGAAAATAACAAGTCTCATGGACCACAAAAAAGCTCTTCCCTACCAAGTGTAGGAAGTACTTAGGCACTAAGCTTAGGCTGCAGTGTTCTGACACTGCCCTCTTCCCCTCATCAGCAGTTCCTGATGACTGCTGATGAGGGGAGGACAATGACAGACAATTTCACCTATGTCTTGGATATATAAGGACCAATATGTAGGGACTGGTGGAGTTTGCCATGGATGGAAACAGGGAATCAGCTTAGTTACTGCTGTTTGTTAGTTAACCTTCAGCCTTTTCTCTATCAACTTCTACTGTTCTGTTACTAATTCAGATGACTCAAAGATAAAACATCAAATCAGATTGGATCATCCTTACATATGCCTCTTTTACACTTATTCCACAAGAAAAAGGTACTATGGGATTTCTGGAAGCAAACTGTTGAACATGTGTCAGCCAAAATAAGGTTTGTGTCACTCCCCAGTAACTGCAGTGCCCATTGGGATGAAAACAAAACAGAGTCATAGAACCCACTAGTGACTCAAACACACAATTATTTATCTGCTATGCAAGGCAATCTATTGAGTCACTATTCAGCCACTTTTAAGCGTAGAATCCAGTTAAAGAACTGGCTGAGCAGATACACGAATGATGAAATCGTTACACGTTCTACTGCTGAACATCAAACCAGGCCCCCCAAGAGCACAGGAGAAAGCAGAGTACATCCCACAGGTGAAAGGCTCAATAAGCAAAGCACAAGATCTGAGAGGCAAGGAAACACAGCAAGGCAGCCACTGCAGGAAGCAACCAAGTCTCTTAGCTGGCCATCTTCAACAGCAAAACTGAGGGACCAACCCTTAACACATCCCATTACTGTGCACAGTTAACTTGTAAACTACGACTGCTAAGTGCTTCTTCAGTGTTTTGAATTCAGTCTACTGAGAACCTTCTACTAAGATAGGTTTGATAAACTGCTAACTGAGAGTCCCTTGGTAGAAGAGTCCAATTCACTCTGGAGGAAAAAAAGTTACAAAGAGCACAAAAGATAGGACAGTGTGTCATGAAAAGAAAACAAAACCAAAAACAAAAGAAACAAGAAAAAACCCTAAAAAAATTAACTATCCTGACTGATTTCAAACTGAAGACGTTTAGCCCAGCACACTTTCAATACTGCATGAGCTGAAGTCAGTCTGAAGGCTCTAATTCTGGGCAGAAAAATACAGACTGGAATGGTCACCTCTTCAATTTTAGTGGTCGTTGCTAAGTTAATAAAATTCTCTTTCTGGTAACTGTATACGCTCCATTCTCATAAATTATCTGAGCTGGCTTAGGTTCCCTGACTTACTAAGTGTACATAGCTGAGTAAAACACCTCTGAAACACACATATACATAAATAAAATCCAGCAAAGCCTGGTTTCAGACAACTGTCTAGAGATACTTCTCTGCTGAGGCACATTAACCATTATAACACCAACACTCTACAGAGAAGCCTGAATCCTTTCTTCACAGTCACTCTACGGAAGAAAATATGGTCTTAAATACAAGCAAATTAAAACAAAATAAAATAAGGCAAAAAAAAGTAAATTCAAATATATATCCTTACAATGAAAAGTCTAGAGACTTGTTCTCCTTACTCCAACACAGTACCTGCTTCTCTTCCACCAATCTTGTTGTTATAAGATTAAGCTAAAACACATTAGAAATTAAGCTTGTACACATTTTCTTCATTCTTTCAGGCCACAAAGGAGGAATACTTAGAACAGTCTGGTTTGGCTTTGAAGATGAAAGCCCGGGATTTTATGCTGGAAAATCCAACTGAGGACTAATTTCCATTTACACTACCATGAAATTTTATCAGAAAACTCAAAGCAGGATTAAATTTATTTCCTGTGTTTCAAGAAAAAGTATTTTAATAAAGAGGTCTCCCGTTCCCGGCTGTTTTTGATGGCCTGCAAAGGCTCGAGATGTCCTCGGGACAGCCCGCACTCCAAAGGACGAGAAGAGTCTTCAGGTTTTCTCTTGGTCTTCAGTGTTTATTAGTTTTTATCTACAAGATTTGCTCTCGGCCTGACAGAAATCCGCACAGCATGTCGGCCATGAGCACACTGAGAGCCCTCGGGGCGGTCACTTATCTTTATACCCAAAACTACATGTAAGATATTTACCTATTTTCCCCAATGCCTTTCACCCTTATTGACAAGTGCACTTTTAGTAAGAACCAATCCCAAAGTGCCACCACCACCACAGAAGATGGAGGCCAAGAAGAAGAAGGACAGGACACGCCCCACTTCCTCCCATTTTGCTTCTCTAGACTCCCCTGTACCGAAATTCTAAAACCTGTGTTTCACACTCTAATTAACTTATCCCTTCACCATGCATCCCCGTGAGATCCTCCCCTCCTCATACAGGTGTCGTCTCCTGTGCAAGATCAAAGTCCAGCCACCAGACACTTCTGGCAACATTCCAGGACCTCCGAGCCCCCCAAGGGTTATCTTGGTGACTCTGCACATCAGGACTGCTGTGCTGAGATCCCACAAAGAGGCAAGTATTTTATTGTCTATGTGCTTGAAATACTGCCACTAGATCTCATATCTCCACAGGCATATTGATGTAAAGGAATTTTCCCTTCATATTAAACTCAAGTCTGAAAGCAGACATGGAAATAACAGCTTAGAAGCCATTAGAGCATAGTCCAGTAGTGTAGAAGCTGTTAAGTATGATGGGAAGAGGGAATTGGAAACATAGCTTATAAAGAAGTCTGGTTATAAGCTCAACTTAAATTATATAGTGCTCTACCTTCTTCTAGGTCAGGCCTATGTCAGGTATATAGAACAGGAAATAACTTCACGATTTCTTGTCATTTTTCTGTGTAACACTTGTATTACAACTTTCTTATTACAGAGAATTCCACTAAAAATACTTCCACTACAATTCTTCTTGAGCCTTCAAAGTTCATATTTTCCAAGATTTCCACTGCAAACACCAGGGCTATGAATTTACTTGCCCTTAATCTTATGAAATTTAATAGCTTCTTGCATTATGAATGCAAGACATTATGAATTCAGGAGGAGAATTTAAAAAAAAGCACTGTAAGAATTAAAACACCACTGCCCCTCTGTTTTACCCTTCCCAGAGTAAGTCCCATTCCCCCTCTTGTTGCTTGCAAAAGCACACAAACAATTTCATGCAGAAGTTTCAGGTCTAATCTGTGTTATTTCAAATACTATATTCTCTGTCAGTTTTAGTCCACAATGGAAATCCCATTAGAATTTATAAGCCATCCTTTTAAAGAACTTGAATTTTTCCATTTTTGCACCTATGCTTCCAAGTTTTGAACCACTGGGGAAGTTGCTATTGTCGCTGTGCGATTATTTTGGTGATATTTTTATTTATATTTATATATATTTATATTTATTTATATTTATATTTCATTTTTTATTTTTTTCCCCAGGTTTCAAATTAAACCATGACTCCTTATTGGTCAAGCTACTTGTAAGGAAAAATGCTCTCAACTTCATTCAGTTTAACTTCCATATCAAAACATTAATGGCTCTCCATGTCTGAATTTCTTTCTTTGTTCATATCTGCTTCTGTACCCACAACATCTTCTTCATTAAATTCCAGTTTCCACCTGGACTGGACTCTTGAATTAGCATTCAGAGACACTCATCCCTGAGTACAGCTGGTTAAAATAAATTGTAATGTGCAACCTTCATTCCAACACTCTTCCCTCCCCACGATGTTTTTAACCACTTATTTGAAGACCTAATGGGAAATGCCCAACAGGATATACTTTCAGTTTTCTACTCTTAAGAAAAAACTACAAGCTGTAACAAGTTCTGAGATGCCAAATACATGCAATTTGGTCTCTTATGTACGTAGCTGCTAATTAGTTAACCTGACAGTGTTCTTATCTCGAGGAACATAAGACTCAGATAGCATAAAAGATTTCAGGATTTAGACAGTATGTATAAAGATTTCTAAGCTAGGAGAGGATGCCACAAGAACTCTGCCCATAGGGGTCAAGAAAATTATTTTTTCAGTTTACAGTATAGGAAGAGTAATGCTGTGCGGTTATTTATGATCATTGCAGGTGGGGCAGGAGCCACCTGCAGAAGTACTGGAAAGCAGTTGCAATAGGAACTTCCAGAAAGTGGGATGAATCCGGCCACTCTCCAGAGATATGTGCAACAGGGATCCTTCTTACCACAAATCAGCACAAACCAGGGATTCTGACTGTGCAGACAGAACTGCATTCTGCAAAGCTGCCAATTCCTGGCCCTGCGGGCTACAAGAGAAAAACAGCTACAGTGAAAGATGGCCCACAAATGTCCCTCAGTCAGTCACCAGGAAGAATACTGACACCACAGTCAGACAGGAGGACCCAAAAAGTCTGTTTAAACAGCGAGGAGCTTGCAAAGCAAAGCTTGGTAACCCATTGACTGGATGCCATGTAGGCAACTAGGACAGCACCTAGATTCAAAAATGAGCTCTGAAGGGTCCCATGTTTGTTGGTGGGATGCCTTTTACATGACACACTAGTGGCACACAAGAGCTGTGGCAAAGCAGCTCCTATATTCTGGAGAATCTGCAGGGAGACTAGGCAGAAAGCAGGCAGATACTGTTAACAACAGAGCTGATGTTTTTCGAACAGGTAACACATCACAGACCAGTTTCTGGATATTCACAGGAAGGTCTATCCCAGGGGGCTGATATAGCTCAAAGCAGCAAAAGACACAAGACAAAAAGACTTACAGATCTTTGACCATAGGACAGGCTATGGAGACCATCAGGGAGATGCAGGGCTCCAAAAGCTACCTAAAGCCATCCTGTCCCAGTTTCCTGAGGCTAACCTAGGGCATTAAGCCAGACAATTTAACGGACAAGCAATTAAGCTCTACTCCATTTAGGAAAAGCAACATTCCATGGCACACCCCTCCTCATGCACCAGCCCATCAGGCAGAGTCTATTCTAAGTCACTTAGTCTTAGTCACAGTAAGATCTTCAGGAAGATGAGCTATGCCCCAAAAGCTGCCATGCATCCTGTCAGAGAGAGGCGCGACGCAGGGAAACCTCTCCATCACCTCTCCGTGATGGAGGAGCACCTGAACCTCCTCACCTGTGCCGTCCCAGCTGCACGCCAGCATCAGCCACTGGAGTACTGCACGCCAGAAATAACTGCAGACCCCTTCAGAGATATTCCATCCTCCCTCAGGGATGGCTGAAGCCGCAGAGGGGAAGCAGTGTGGGGAGCGGTGGGCTCTCCAGAGAGAAGACAGGACACTCACACCCCGGGTAATTCTCACACACACCGGTAACAGTGAAAACACGGAATGGCGGCGGCCGCGGGAAGACGCGCCGCGATCCCGCCCGCCCGCCCGCGGCGGCCCCTCGCGGCGGCGGCCGGAGGACGAGCCGCCGGCCCGGGCCGCTCTCGACCCCCGCGGGACCGAACCGGGGCCGCCCGTTCTCTCTCTCTCTCCCTGCCTGCCTCCCTCCCGCCCCGCCACGGCAGCACAGCCGCAGGGACCCGCGGTAGAGAACGCGGGTTCGGCGAAGGGCTCCAGGCGCCCGGCCCTTACCTCGCAGCGGAGCAAAGGACAGAGCAGCGCGGCAGGCGCCGCTATTTAAGCACCTGCGGCCGGCGGCGCAGGACAGGGCCGGGCCAGGCCCAGCCGAGCCGCCCCGGGGAGCGCGGGCGCGGCGGCACCGCCCCCACCGTGCCCGGCGCCCCGCCCGGCCGAGGCCCCGCGGCTCTCGGCGGCCCGGCCAGGCCCGGGGCGGCTACGTGCTGCCCGGCTCGGAGACCGCCCGCAGTGTCGGTGTCCGTGTCGGTGTCCGTGCCGGTGTCGGTGCAGCTCGCAGGGCACGGCTGTGGCACGCAGCTCTGGAGTCGGGTTTACGTTGCCAAAGTCAAGTGTGCCCCTGAAATAGCCGCGGCTTCGAGGTGAGGCAGGCGAGCAGCTCCCCTCAGGGTGCTGGTGCCACGTTTCCCATTTCACAGAATCACAGAATATTCTGAGTTGAAAGGGACCCGTAAGAATCCTCGAGTGCACCTCTCCAGTGAATGGGCCATACACGGATAGAACCCACAGCCTTGGCTAGAACCAGGCTCTGCTTCAGGAGCCTGTAGTAGTCCCTTAAGAATATCTGCCTTACTCCACACACTTGGGCACTTGTTAGGCAAGCTAGAGACAGGCTGAGCCTAGATATGACAGATCTGCTTCAGTGGTGAGCCACTTTAGCTGGTGGAAATGAAAGAAAAGGCTTTCTTGCCAGGTACAGGCAGTGGAAGGAGGAAGAAGCTGGCTTTGGTAGCTGAGATGAGAGAGCTGTGACATGCAAGAAGCAGCTGTGTGAGTAGACAAGGAGCCAGGGAAGGAAGATCAAGATGGGCCATTTGTGAGTGCTGTAGCATTGGCAGGACCAAGACAAAGTGACTGAAGTTTGCCCAGGTAGTTAACATCAGCCTGGTAACCAGTGAGGTGTGGGTGAATCCGTTTGGGTTTATGTGAGTCTAAACAGGATGAGCCAGAACAGGGATGGAGTGATGCTGGGAAAATAAATGGCAGGAGGAAAAGAGTGATTATAGTCCTGCTTGACAGAGAGATATTTTGGTTAGACAGTATGATTGGGTGAAAATTCTTTGTAGCTTTTCACAGGAAATCTGCATTTGGGTAGAGAGCAAGGAAAACTTGGAATTGAATTGATAACCAAAGAGTGTATGAAATTATATGTCGGGTGTAGGAAGGAGCTTGTCAGGGGGTAGAAGGTTTTGAGGTTTCCAGAACTGTAAGCTCCAGTGTGTTAGTGACCCTTTGCCATCTCAACTGCTTTATGTCCTGACTGCATTGATTGCAGTTGCTTCAGCTGTATAACACAGTACTGCTGTGAAGGGTCTCATGGTAAGGAGATTGGGAAGTAACAAAATAATAATAACAACAAATTCCTATGTTCTATGATGAGGGAAATATTCCAGTAAAGAGTTTTTAAGAAGTCTGAAGACAACAAAAGAAAATGAGCTGTGCTTGTTTAAAAACACAAGCTGAAGATTAATTCTTGCCAAGAGTGACAGAGGTAGAATCAGACTGTTTTATGAAGTCAGACAGCAGTGACATAAAGAGATTTAGTTATGTTTATATGTCAGTGTTCCAACACCTGATTCTGGTTCCAATGTTTTTTTCAACATAGAGCTTAAATAATTAATAAAAACACTTATGTGGAGCACATTTCTGGATGAAGTATTTTGTCAGGCTAAGCTTTCTTCAGTTCTCTGATACTAGTAAATTATTGGACCACTGATGTGATATATATGTTCTCTTTTCCTGTTACATAAATAGTTTTTTATTTTATGTAAATACTTCTTATACCAAACTTAAATGTCAAGAATTTCACTTAAAAAAAGAGTCAGTCGTAACAGTTAACAAACTTGTTTGCTAGCATCTACCTAAAAATTATTTCTGTCTACAAAGACTGTCATCAGCTTTTCCCCTCCATCCACCACTTGGACTTCTCATAGTCTTGAGCTTAAGGACTTGAACTCCATAATGACAGAAGTGTTTGAAAGAATATAATTCTTCGGTTCTTTAGATTCTGACTCAGCCTGGTATAAGTTTTCAGTGCATTAAGTTGCTGTTGATTCCTGCCATGGGAGTGCAGTCATAAAACTGTAATCTTGAGCCATATGCTGTGATTTAAGAATTTTTTTAACCATATTTCTTAAACTTTTAAAGTAGTAACTCTTGAGCTACAAATAATGCATATTTTAAGTCCACACTGTGACAGTATTTGGCAAAAACAGATCCATATTGGTTTTTACCATACAGAAAGGTACTGAGTTTTTTATGTTGAGACTGAACATAGCTGTATGACAGTAGTTTTTGGATGTTAGTGCTAGTAGAGAAAGTATTTTTGCCTGGTATGGAAAGCAGTGCTAGAGCTATGAAAAAAATGCAGTGCATTCACAGCTAGAGTATGACAAAGAACCCAGAGCTACCAGAAAGTCACTGCTTTTGACATTATTTCTGGGGTTACAGTCAGTAACACTCATGAAGACATTAACAAGAAGGTTACCATTTGAGGTGGTGAGCAGAGAAATATAACTGCTCATGATTTATTTATTGGGAATTAGTTGAGGCTTTTTTGATGGAAGCCACTACTTATAGCAATATTGTGGTCAAATATAAATGAAATTACTAACTTTGCATTCCTCTTTTTTTTTTTTTTTTAATTTAGCAAACATGTTTATAAATGTCAGACAGCTGGTTTGAATTGTTTGCCTAAAGATGATGGTCTCTAGAAACAAGGGCGCAAATGCAGCAAGTAGGACTAAATGCTGGTCACTTCTAGATTAAAATTCTATTGCATGGAAGAGATGTTAAAATGTTGTGTGTAATGTAAGATGGGTCAATAAAACCACAGCTGTTGCAATTAGACGTGTGAAATACTGGATGTGCTGAGACAGTGCTTCAGCTCAAAACATTAAGTGTGATCTACAGAATGTTTTCAGATGTTTGAACACTTAAGGAGAGGGAATCCAGACTGTCCTAAACTGTCTTGGTGAAAATGTAACCATCATAAAAATATCTAGTGTTCATAATTCACAGCATGCTTTTTGAAGCTTTGCAGAAAATCCTTGAATCAGTGAGGCTGATGCTACTCGCTTTGTTTCAATGACAGCTGACCTTTTGTTAGTATACTCTGAAGCAGGAGCTGCTGAAGAGTGCATGGAGGAAATACATGGTAAATTTCACTTTATAATCGCCATTTGCTTGCTGTGATGGTATGGTACATATGAGATGATGATGCAGAAGCCAAGAGTCATCCAGATCATTTTGGTTTATTTAACCAAAACACAGTCAGGTACACTCAAAAGATCTACACTTAGAAATACAAGTATATAGAACATTTATTTCATTAAAATTGTCCATTTTTAGGCTTAGAAATGACAAAAGCATTGCTGCCAACATTCAGTAAGCTTTGGAACCAAACTTAATTAATCCTGAAATAGTTATTCTGTGTTCTTCAGCAGATAGCTACAAAAGAACCACAGGAAAGAGTATGTTCTGGCTATACTATAAGGGAGGATAAATGGGGGACTGACACCCTCCTCACAGAACAGCAGCAGCCTGGATCTGTGGCATTTGAACGCTCAGGCAGTGCATCTTTGTGACCTGTGATGATCCCTTCTCAGGAGCAATAGAGAAATACACAATAGGAAGACCAAGCTGACTGCTCTCTTCAGAGCCTGGGCATGCCAGGGGTGTCCATGACTTGGCTGATGGTCACCATTTTCTCTTAATAAATCATCTTTCCAAACCTCTCTGCTCCATCCATCTAAAAGGTGTGTCAATGCAACAGTATTTCTGTTAGTAAATCATAGATAGATATAGATACATAGATACTAATATAGAATCACAGAATCAGAATGGTTTGAATTGGAAGGGACCTTTAAAGGTCATCTATTCTAGCCTCCCTACAATGAGCAGGGGCATCTCCAGCTAGATCAGGTTGCTCAGAGCCTTGTCACTTCTGACTGTGAATGGTTCCAGGTGTGGGGCAGCTACCACCACTGTGGGTGACCTGTTTCAGTGCTGCACCACCATCATCATAAAATATCTCTTCCTTATACCTACTCTTCATCTACCCTTAGTTCAATTTAAAACCATTACCCTTCATTCTGTTGCAACAGGCCCTGCTGAAAGGTCTATACCCATTTTTCTTATAAGCCCCCTGTAAGTATTGAAAGGAAGTGAGAGAGAAGTGACTAAAAATTAATGAAATTCAGAGAGATTATGCATTAACCCTCATAAAAATCAAACAGCTTTGTTTTGGCCAGGAGAGGTAGATCCATATCTCAAATCTGTATCTTACGTTGTTGGGTTTGCTTATTCTGCTTGGATTTGATTTTTAAAAGAATGGCATGATAGCTGTTTCAATTGGTGGCACTGGAAAGCCATCTTGCACTGTGCTGTGATGACACTGGAATGAGGAAGTGAGCCAAAGACAACGTGTTGCACCCATCAGAACAGGGGTCTGGGGCAAGACAACCTTCCCTCGTTGAAGGCTATGCTGCTTCTCACAGTCAGGAACTGAATCCTGTAGAAGGGCACCTTAGTCATGCAGAGGAAGAAAGGAAAGAGGAATGCAGATATCTTCTATTCTTATCAGTGTAAGTAGAGACCTAGTCTGGACTTGAGGAAA